GATAGATAGATAGATAGATAGATAGATAGATAGATAGATAGATAGATAGATAGATAGATAAATAATAAATAAATAACTGGATGCCGTATTCCAAGTGTGGCCTTCCCAAGGCCTTATAAAGTGGTATTAACTTCTCTTTATATATAATATAACACATGAAGTAAATATACAATACCAAAAAGCAGGTTTTCCAACGTGGTAATTCAGCAGAGAAGTTTCACTTTCAGTTCTAGTTTTAGATATCAGCCCAGCCTGAAGCTTTAGTACAAAACAAGCCACCCCCTAGCTCCTTGCTGTCTCTTTCCTTGTTGTTCACACAGCAAATACTGTTTGTTTCCAAACAGCCCTCAACTCTCTCACACGCTGACAGGACGCTAGCCAGATGAATCCCATGGATGCTGGTAGGCAGAGGCAGAATGCTTTCCCACCCCTATTTTCCTCCCCAAAAACTAATGTGCATCTTATACTCCGAAAAATACAGTACCAATAGTAATAAGAACAATAATACAACCAAATAATTCTAACCATATTTATAATTGAGGATTCAGGTCTTCAAAAGGGCTGATTTAACCCTGCAATGAAACTAGTTTGGTTTCCACAAAAGGGCTGATCCATGGTGAAAACTGATTTGGCTCCACCCTGAAGCTGAGTTTTGTCTGTGTATCATTTTCTTGTCTCTAACTCCGTTTCTTGTCTAATCCAAGTTCAGAGTGACGGGACATTTCTCCCTTGTGTCATGTTTAAAAGCTGTTTTCCGTTCTTTGCCAAAGTCCCAAACCGGCACGGTAAGACGGCAAATCATTTTGCCGAGTGCCCACATTGGGGGTGCGTGTAGCATGTGAGAAATGTCACATTTACATTTGTTTCGTTTTGTTTCGGTCCAGAGTTTGTTTGTTTTTTTTAATTTTTTTTAAAAAACGAATGGACTGAAAATGGTGGAAATCCAAGCCCTAATTGTGTACGGTTTTTAGTTTGTTTAACTGACACATTAAACATGCATCTGAAGAACCAATTGCAGAACTTACTTTAAAGATGCGCAGTTGGGATGGAACATATTGTACCATGCACTTGCCCTTCTTTCCCCTCTCCTTCCTTCCTTCCTTCCTTCCTCTCTCCCTCCCTCCCCTCTCTTCTAGTCCAACCCCCTGCCTAGGCAGGAAACCCTATACCATTTCAGACAAATGGTTATCCAACATCTTCTTAAAAACTTCCAGCCTTCCCTTCCTTTTCCTTGATTCCTTTCCTTCCTTCCTCTCTTCTTCCCTTCTCCCTCCCTCCCTCTCCTCCCTTCCTGTCCCCTCCCCTTCTGCCTTCCCTTCCTTTTCCTTTCCTTGATTCCTTCCTTCTTTTCCTTCCTCCCTCTCTTCCCTCCCTTCCACTTCCCTTCCCTTGATTCCTTCCTTTCCTTCCTTCCTGTCTTCCTCCCACCCTTTCTCCCTTTCCACCTCCCCTTCCCTTGATTCCTTCCTTTCTTTACTTTCTTCCTCCTGTAACCTTTCCTTGCTTATCTNAGTTAGCCGATCTATCTTTAAACATTTTTGCCAGTGCGAAGTGGCACCTATAAAACATTTTATACAGATTTTCTTCATATGCAGTCGACATCGTCAGTTTAATATTTCTATCCCACAGTTTCTGCCATTTATCTAAATCTAAATCTTGCAACAACTTTCTGACACACAAAAGTCGATTCGGGAAGCTGGGTTTGCTTAACAATTGTGGCGATTCACCTCATGACTGTGGTAAAAATGATCATAAAACTAGATCTGATCATGTAAGGACTTCATTTTATGACTGCATCTCTGGAACTCCTATTGGGGTCGTAAGTTGAGGACTACCTGTACAAAACAGCCCTTGATCTCTGCCAGGTAAACCCTTTAAAAATGAACTTTTCTCCTCTCAAAGATGGCAGATCTCCAGCGATCCCTGGCGCAGAAAGACGCCGCTCTCATCAGACTGGGGCAGAGACTCCACTCATCCGAGCAGACTTCTTACGACGGCGTCTTCCTGTGGAAAATCACGGACGTTCATCAGAAATGCTACGAAGCCATCTGTGGCAAGGTCCACAGCTTCCAGTCGCCGGGTGAGCCTCTCACCTCACAGGAAGCCTCTCCAACTGTTCAGAGGGCTTTAGCGCTTGGAGGGAGTCACGATCCTGTGCATGTTGAGGCAGCCAGGTCGGAGGAAGGGTGGGTCAGAAATGGGGGTCAGAATTAGGACCAGCCAGGCTGGAAAAGTGAAGAGGATGTTGGGCATCTCTCTCTGCTGTTCCTTCAAGATGCTCAATCTTTTTTGAGCCTTTATTCCCTCCCTTCCAATTCTCCTTCCTTCCCCTCCAATTCTCCTTCTTCCTCCCTCCCTCCCTTCCCCTCCAATTCCCATTGCTTCCTTCCTCTCTCCCTCCCTTCCCCTCCAATTCCCTTCCCCTCCAATTCTCATTCCTTTCTTTCTCCCTCCCTCTTCCCCTTCCCCTCCCTTTCCCTTCCATCCCTCTCCAATTCTCCATCCATCCACCCTCCCTCCTTCCCTTTATTTTTTCCTTCCTCTTCCCCTCCCTCCCTTCCCCCCCACCAATTCCCCATCATTCCTTCTTTCTCCCATTCCCCTCCAATTACCCTTCCTTCCTCCCTCCCTCCCTCCCTTCCTTCCTCCTTCTTTCCATCCCTTGCTTCCTCCTTCTTCTTCCCCTCCAATTCCCTTTTCTTCCTCCCTCCTTATCTCTCTCCTTTTCTTCCTCCTCCCCTCCCCCTCCCCATATGAAAGGGTTTCTTAACTTCCAAGTTCTCCTTCTTTTCAGCATTTTACACTTCCCGATACGGTTACAAACTGTGCATGAGGATCTACCTGAATGGAGAAGGCCGAGGCAGGGGAACCCACATCTCGCTCTTCATCGTGCTTCTCAAAGGGGACTATGACTCTCTGCTGCCCTGGCCTTTCACGCACAAGGTAACGGAGGCCGGTGGTTGGTGTTGCCATCATGAAGGGAAGCTGTACCAAGGAAGAAAGGATTCCATTCCATTCCACTCCCCTCTACTCTACTATTCTGTTCTATCCTAGTCTATTCCATTCCATTCCATTCCTAATTTCTGTTCTGTTCTATTCTATTCTATATTCTGTTCCTTATTCTATTCCTTATTCTAGTCTAGTCTATTCCTAATTTCTATTCTATTCCATCCCATTCCATTCCTAATTTCTGTTCTGTTCTGTTCTGCTCTGCTCTACTCTGCTATCCTATTCCATTCTTATTCTATTCCATTCCATTCCTAATTTCTGTTCTGTTCTATTCTATTCTATATTCTGTTCCTTATTCTATTCCTTATTCTAGTCTAGTCTATTCCTAATTTCTATTCTATTCCATCCCATTCCATTCCTAATTTCTGTTCTGTTATATTCTATTCTATTCTATTCCATTCCATTCTACTCCATTCTATATTCTGTTCCTTATTCTATTTCTTATTCTAGTCTAGTCTATTCCTAATTTCTATTCTATTCTATTCCTAATTTCTGTTCTGTTCTATTCTATTCTATTCTATTCCATTCCATTCCATTCCATTCTACTCCATTCTATATTCTGTTCCTTATTCTATTTCTTATTCTAGTCTAGTC